CAGGCAAATTTGGGATCAATTGGCTTTCTACCCATTTCATGAAGTTCAAATGATTCATGTCGTTGTGGTAGTCCCCAGATTTTGAGCCTGAAAATAAAATACATACATATAATCCAGTAAATGTAAAAATATATTGGAAATATTTTACATCATTGTAACACAAATAATACCTGATTTAAATATCAACAAGGCGTTAGGAATAAAGCCGAATTCTCCACCAGCATGCACAATAATCATTCGTTGTCCTTTTGATAAAGGCGTTTTTAGTTCCTTGTCATAATTGTCATCTGACCATCCTTTTTTTGGGGTATGACTAGAATGTATATATGTTACATCCGTATAAATTATGTTCCTGTTCTCAGCTCTATATTTCATAATTTGCTTCAGATATTCGATACGCTTCAAGCGAATTTCATATTTTTCCATGAGAGCTTTTTTATTATCAGTAGTTCTTTTCCATCTGTAGATATAAATTATATTTATAGCGTTGTAAATCAAAAACTTTATAGTGTTTGTTCAAAGTCGTTATTTTACCTCAAAATTGAGTTGTCGATCTTGCATTTTTTGGTAAATACCTAAAAAATCTTAAAATGAAATATGACTAGATGCTACGGTTACAATTTAAAAACTTACATTTCAGCGAAGGTCTTCTTTTCTCCAAAATATAAAAATCGTATATGGTTGCTTTCATTTCTTCAATTTAGCCTGCAGTCACTTTATCCACAACAGGTGATTTTCGTTGCCGCTTTTTAGATGGGGATGAAAATGAAAAGTTGCTTGAATATATTCCATCTCTGCTCTCTTTAGCTATTTTTTGATAAGTACATTTACTTATACCCGTGGCAGCTAACACACGTTTCCTAGATGGGTTTGAAGAATTGGAGCAGATGAGTGGAAGAAAATTTGTAACCACGTGAAAAAATATGAGCAAGCACAAATGGAAAAAGAACATCTTCTCGACGATCAAATGGATAAGTATCAATTCAATGTGAACACAGGGTCATCATCAGAAGATAGTGACGAAAGCGACTCAGATGAAGATTTGAAGCTAAACACACTATCATCTGATAGCGATTAGATTTTTTAATGATAATATATAATTTCAATTATAACCGTCTTTAGTTTGCTCCCTCTTCTAATTCAGATTTGCTTCCGAACAACTTAATGCGCATACTAAATGAATATAGTAATACAAAAATCAATTAATGATCAATGTCTACACAACCTATTCACTTTATTTTATACTTCAATTGAAATAGAACGCCACTGCGCTCTGTCGACGACCGCGTGATGAGCGGACCCGCCCACGATGACGTAGCGGTCATATTCTAAGAGCGTTCGAACCCTACGGACGGAAGACCGGCAGTGGCGCGGCAGTTAAGATTTTAGAAGGGGTTTGACTTCCTACTGAAGGTAGATATGGGCCAAGCAATTTCATGTCTGAAGATTTAGCGTAAACACATTTCTCACATGTTCTGATGTGTCTGAATTCGAATCGGCGGAATGTCATTGTCAAACGTGGTTTTCTCAGTTTAGTCGTTGATTTACTATGCTTTTTGAACATTTTCGAACATTCTCTATGACATGTAATCACACAATTGTACGCCATTGAAGCTAAGGCTAATTAGAGAATAGAAAATTCTTGCTAAACGTTATACAATTTATAGTTGATTAATACAAAGGAAAATGTCATGGAAAGATTACCACAAGAGAGTTGAGAACAAGACCTCAATTCATGCCTAATTGCTTTCACTATTGGGGCTGAAAAAACCTCATAAATATTAACTTCTCATCAATAATATCTAGAAACTCAAAAAAATTAACAAATAAAGTCAGGAAACTGAAAAAATAAACTATGAAAACACGGAAAATCGCTTAATCGAATTCAGAGAATGAATAAATATTTTTAAACAAAAGGAAGTTAATAATCTGATGGGCAGTCAGGAGATGCGGAAGTATTGTCACTACTTGAGCTCGAACATTTTGAATGTCGTATTTTTACTCGCAATGATATGACTAATCGGGGTTTGTGTTCACGCGCGATTTGCAGCAATTGTGCCTTCAGCATCGTATCATTGCACGTTATGTATTTAGACACCAGCCAGTTATAAATGTCAGCTTTTCGCCAATTGGAAGTGGAAAGGTTTTCTATACGTCGACCCGATTCAAATATACTCAACCCTCCATTCACAAACCCAGATGTACTACCTATAAATATTATTAAATGGCGACCTTAGCTTGAGGGACATGTCATACCGGTACTTAACCCATCTATGACTTGTCATATTCAAATCTTGCCAAAACTTGGAAACAGTAATGTTGATTCAGCCACGTTCCATCATAATAGTAGATTTGCTGTCGCCCGATTACGCGAACACAGGAAATGGTCTATATATTCAAACGTTTTGTTACTGAACCTACTTGGTATATATAGTATATTAAATTATTATTGGTTGAATTGAAGCGTTCACATTTAAAATACGTGTTTCTAGCAAGTTAGCTCGCTAAAATTCAGTTCTGCGAATCTATGGATTTGATTTCCAGAATCACAATTTACGAATAGCGATGGAGCTTCAGACATAATCAAAAATATAGTAGCCGCAGCTAATATATTTTCGATCACACAGCGTATTAAACTGTATACAAGAGAATATCTGAATATAATTCGAGTTGGCATCATCACATCATTTAAGAGGAATCCCTCGTAGCGTGGATAAGCATGCTATAAGCCAGAAGACAGACTTGTTGAAAATTGAGGTTTTCCTACAGAGGATGGGCACTATTTGCATCGACTGAGTATTACAAAGCCTTCCTACCTTATCTAATAATACGTATATCGCAAATCCTTATTTCTGGCTTGGTGATTTTTTACCGTATTATTTGATCTAAAATTACTTGAAATTGAAGATTTTGCTTATGTATATCTTATTTTAGATAGGAGATGGGAAGAAAATTCAATATGCAGACTTTTAGTGGATTTCTTCCAATTTGGAACCGAACTTTAATGTTAGCGCACTACAGTAAGGTGAATTACTACCCCAGATTATAACTTGTTTTGGAAAGTCTTTTAAAATTCCATCTAAAGCATTTTGCCTAGTAAAAGACAATCTTCTTGGGTTTGTACTAAACACTGCGAGATTTCAAAGTCATTTTAGTTTCAAAAGGTACCTTTGGGGTATCAAGTTTTGTTGAACTCGAATAATAGTCAAGATAAGTATTTTTGATTTCATTAAGCGTGTATAAAGGTAGAGATTCCTCAATGTCTATCAGTATTAGTATGATTTTGATTGATAACAACTTTAACAATATTTTTGTGATTCAAAAAGTCTCGCCCTAGTAATAAAGGAAAACTAATATTTCCTTCCCTCATCACATGAAACTTCTGGTCGATTTTGATGCTACCAACATGTATTGGCTATATAGCCACCCTATACTGAATAAAGGTTAATTACCGAAATAATTCATGTTACCACAATAGTAATCCATTTTACCTTTTTTCAAAAACAAGCGATATCGGGATACCTGTATCTACAATGAGTTTCAAGGGCGGATCCAGCATTTGTGTCAGGTGCGTTCTTGAAACAACCGCAGGTAGCATTACAATGATGTAGATAAACAGCCAATACTATCGAGGCACGTTGTAATTTCCAAAAATATTATTTTAAGTCATTATTATACAAAGGTGTAAAAAATTAGCAATATACCTATTGCGTTTATGGCTAGTCCGTCTCTGCCGAACTGAATGAATGAACAGTGTAACTGACAAAACTGACAAATTTTTAAAAAAGCAAAAAAAAACGATGTATCTTTGGATTCCCTATCGAATGACACGCATATTTTGATGGCGCTATTTTTTTAGGTGAGCTGTGTTAGAATTTGAACGACAATATGTGAAAATTATTTAAAAAAAACTATTTCCAACGACGTCTCCTTCAGGGGCCAGCTTCTCCAGAGGTGTTTTGGAAATCGAGAGGATCAGATACAATAGATTCAGAATAGTCCCAAGAGTCGTCCATGGAATTCTTGCACCGTATGTGGGAAACACCCTCAACTAAGACAATACCATCATGCACCACCATTTTACAAATAAAAATTAACAAAAACATGAATTAGTATATACACTATGTTTACGAGCTGATAGATGGAGCGAGATTTGAACACTCTTACGGTTAGATACCTCTGATGCTTACTTCTTGTCTTCTCCTTTCAATCAAATGAAACTGCTCTTCTCTGATTTTGTCCGTCAAAATCTATTTTGATCAAATTTGCTCGCTGCGTCAAAGGCTCGCGCGAATAGCTTTTTTTATATAATTGTATCCGAATTTCTGAATTTTCATTAATTACCTTATTCACAAAACACATAAGGTTCAATTTCCAATAACGTACTAATGGACTAACAGTTCTACCAAGCCGAAAAATGCAGAATCACTATTTCATTTATATTGGCGTCAAGTTGAACGTATAGGCCTTCCAGACTCACGCAACCTCTCATTTCCACGCCATCATCGATGTGTTTACTGATTGATCAGGGTGCCAGGTGAGGTGATTTTCCACCCCCTCGATCCGCGCTTGTTGAGTGTTTGCAGGGTATCGAAAAGACCAGCGCAATACAATGTGCTGCACGTGGGATGTAAGGTGTATTGACGCGCAAGATATAGCCTCTCGTACTCAACTGCCAACCTTCTCGGTGGTGCACCTCGTCGTTATTATATTATAACAAGGAAATTGCAAGCGATGACTACCGGTATAAGTAGTTAGGGTCTCTCCGGGATGATTGACTAAAATTGGGTAATCAACCCAAGGTGGACGGCTCTCAAGTGGTAGACCGGGCTCCTTGAGTCGTGGTGAAGACTCTAGGGATGCTGACCCGATCAAGACAGCAGGACCGATGACGACCTGGTTATAGAAAGGACTATGAGGATTGTTTCAGCATGGCGGCCCACTGGAAGTTCTCCTACGGAGCTGCTGTGAGCTTGCTCTGCCGACGTGAGGTTGCGATGTTAAAGCAGAGACCAGCCCCTTCGAACCCCGATCAGGAAGTGTGCCATGGGTGCAAGACTTGGAATCTTGCACTGGTCCGGACGAGTGCCGGTCTGTCCGTGCATCCAGGGACCGGTTAAGCGATGACTGGGCCTCAGGGTATCGACCCGCCCCGTGCCACTAAATTCACCTAACCAAAATAAAATAAAATAGAAAAATCTGAGGTTTTAGGTAGTGAGGTGGACAGGAGCAGCATGATGGCTGCGACCGTACAAACGGTAAAGAAGGAGAAAGGGAAAATTCCGTCCCTCTTTAGAGCACAACGCTCAAGTTCATTTAGCGGGTGAAGAAGAACGTATTTTGGTAGTCCAGAAATTCATGCCACAGAAACCGGAGTTGAAAGAAAAGCTCTAGTGCTGAATGCTGAGAGATTGAGAGAGCTATACTCAGGAAGAAACAAAATTTAGTGGCATATGACCTCGTGGATAATCTGGAAACACTCAGGTACAAGTTGGAATGATTAAATAACATAATCAATACTAGCCATAATACAAGGAAATAAATTAAAAATTTGAACTTGGATCTACAGCGTCTCGCCGCTTCCTGAAATAAGGACTCACTGAACAGCTCGCTAGATACCGTAAAATGGTCAGAGGTAGTGACATGTCAAGATAACGCTTCCTAAAGGATGCCAGTACGCTGATACTGGTAAACGACACAGAGGAGGGACGACGAAGTGCTAGCGCAGTTGCAGCTAGACACATTGAACTAGACCAAGCTCTTAAAAATGAGGAAGAGTAAATCAAATTCGCCGTTAGGACAAACAGCAGCGTTGTTTCAAACGTAGGTTGTAACGACCTCCATGTTCAGAGCAAAAAGACAGCTATAGCTATCAAGGTTGCTGAAGACAACGAGCAGGGGCAACTCTTATAAAATCAGCCCGCTTATATTCAAAATCCCTAAACTATTGTGACGATATGCAGAATACCTCGGAAATGGTAAATACAAGCATATTGAAATTTATATAGGACACCTTTATAATTAAAACAGCTCAGGATGAAAAATCCGACGCTAATACGCTTAGGAGACTGAGGCAAAAAATAAATTTACAAGAAATAGGTGCATCGGTGCTCAATCTGAGACAGGCGAAAAAAGGTGAAATCGAGCTGAATGTGGCAGAAAAAAGGAAGGTGCTGACGCAAGTCGAATGTATTTTAGGCGCCGGAAATGTGCCCAAAGCACCAGAAAGGACTGTTGCAATCTTGAAAAAAAAATCGTAGATAAGGAAAAGATCCATCAAGCAGCCGAACAGGTTCTGCAGCAGCAAAATGTTGCAGGTATACAAGTTTTTAAACCAAGAGCACCCAAAAGTAGGAAGCGGCCTTGCACTGCCCTTATGATACTCCCTGAAGGGCTTGGACATATGCTTCTGGAACAGCTGCGGATTAAAATTTAATGGAGCAGGTGCAAAATAAGTGAAAAAATCTCTCCAGCGAGATGCTACAAGTCCAAGTTGTTTGGCCACGTTGCATACCAGTGTAAGGCAAAGGAGAACCAAAGGCAGAAGTGCCTCAAATGTGGAGACGACAAGTACGTTGCAAAATACTGCACCAATGAGATGAAGTGCTACGTGTGCGACAAGAAGAGACACCGCGCATACAGTATGGCGTGCGCGAAATACAGGGAGGTAGCAAAACAGTATCGTTTCACTGCTAAAGAACAAGCAGCTAACATAGCTGTGACAAAACAGGCGACGCCTGTACCAATTACAAAGAAAACTGATGAGCCTGCTTTATCTCGACCTCAGGTTAATAACACTGATGATGAGGGATTTCAGGTTGTCAGAAACAGACGGCCAGGCGAACGGATAGGAGCAACACTCCCACAATACCAAAATGAAGATAATACAAACTTAAACAGGTGCAGAGAGCGACACACGAGTGAGAAGATTCAATTTACGTTGCTCTGGTATGGGAGCCGAATAAAAAGATAATAAAAACAGGCTCGTGGAGATCAAATGCAGACGGAGACGCAGCTATTAGGATGAATGGATAGAGATGGAAAAATAGACCTGCTCTGTATATATTTTCTCCAACCATAACAACTGACGCTTACTCAGAAAGACTAAATGAATTGGAAACTCGTATGGACTACAGTATAAGAGCCGTTTTACACACAAGAGAATTACTCCGAAAATTATGGTCATAATTATGCCGAAAATTTTTGCTGTCGTATTACACGTAAAAGAATTCTTGTGAAAATTTTCATGGTAAAAATATAAAACCCGTTCTATATTATATGCGCGAGAATCGGCGCAGAGGGTTATTTCCGTGCATGTCAATATCAAATGTCAACGACAACAACAACAACATAACCTCACTTAACATTTGTGGGAGTGGTCCTGTTCGAGTCGTACGAAGGAGCGTTTATTGTTATTGTTTATTCATAATGTCGTGGAATCGGGAAGAATTTACAATGTTGTTGGAGGAGTACCAAAAATGGCCAAACCTGTACAAGGTGAAGTCACCCAATTACAAAAACAGAAATTTGCGGCGTCAGGCGCTGGATACGATAGTCCAAGCATTGAGAAGTTTTATAATATTAACCAAGATCTCGATTTCAAAAATAAATTTAAATTATCGACGTCTGTTGTCTTTCCGATTATATTGGACGTCATACCCGTTAAGGTTATGTCCATTTGAAAATATAAATCTAATGCGCAGGCGTATCATATGAATTACTCCGAAATTTTGTTTGCTTGTGTCATACAGGTTGTAGAGAAAATCTTCAATATTTTTTCCATGCAAATTTTCAGCATAATTATGACCATAATTTTCGGAGTAATTCTCTTGTGTGTAAAACGGCTCTAAGACAGTAATTGATTGGCGGAGATTTCAGTTCGAAGTCGACAACTTGGGGATCCCGGATTACTGACAAAAAAAGGACAGCTCCATGAAGAAATTCTCGCGGCAAGAAGCCTTATCATAGCAAACAATGCTGGCGAGCCAATCTTTGAAAGAGGAAGCGAAACATCCTATATCCACATTACTTTCCATACGAGAGTGAGAACCTGACTGGTAGAATTGAAAACTGGAAAATACTCGATGATGAAAACCTGAGCGACCATTAACAGATTATGTATGAAATAACAACTATTAAACATGAAAGACCACATAAGATCCGAAGGTGAAAGATAAATGGAGCTAAAACAGGGCATTTTCACACCCACCCTACTTATGTAAGGCTGGGTGTTAACGGTCATTTGATCGAGGATTTGTCCTTTTTGCCAAAAATATTGTGTGTATTTTCTGTAATACAGTAAATATAATGTTTTTTTTTGTTTTTGTTTTTTGGCAAATAAATGTAATTTGAATTTGAATTTAAATAAAAAGCATTCCCCAGAAATCTGCAGGAAGCCCTATGGAACACAAAAGCAAAGTTCAACTGCCAGAGGATGTAGTCCGAACAGCACGAGAGAACACCTTCGGCGTGGTCTATAAAAATGGTAAAGTCATGGAAGCAAATTTTGGTGGAATAATGAAATAACAAAAAAGATAAGTTTGCCTATCAGATTTACAATAACAAGAGAAAATAGTACCATAGAGCACATGGGACAAGGAATAACCTTTTGATACTCGAGTACAAAAAACATCAATATGCTAAAAAATAAGTAGAAAAGCTTATAGTGAACTCTAAACAGAGGATGTGAAAAGACTTACTAAATGACTTAGAAAACCACGTTTGGGTTAAAACTCACAGACAAACAGTACATAGATACTGAACAGCAAATAAAAATTGCGGATCTACCAGTTTACAAAGAGTGTGCTGGAAAAAGCTGCAACGCACTTGAAAACAAGTAAGGTACGAGTACTAAATAAAATACCAAATGAGACCGTGAAAGCGCCGGTTAAAGAGATACCCGAAATCGTGCTGTCTGTGATGAATGAACGCTCCAGAACGGGAGTCTTTCCGAGGAGGTGGAAGGAGCTGGTTTGATACTCATCCCTAAAACTCCGAAACCCGCCGATAGAGAAGTCAAATGTAGACCTCTGTGTATGATGAGTTCACTTGGAAATCTACTATACTGTAAGTATCTAAAACTGTAATGACTCATACGCGTGATCAGAGCCTGACCGCCGCCGGGCGACGGAACGGCTGTCGAGAGGCGTCAGGCTATAACAGGGTGGTATTCTAAACTCTGAGTGTTCCATATACACATTCTAAATAATGCACATTTTATTCGGGTAACAATGTCCCACAATCATCTTGACAAACTTTGAGATATTAGAATACAAGTATGTTTAATACACAAAAATTGGGAAAATATGGCCCTACCGTTTTGATTCAAGATCTCATTCATTTGTTATAATAATCTTGAGTAAAACGGTTTATGAATTTTTGGACTTATTTTAAGGAGAAAGCTTCCATATAGCGATCTTCTCGAATAAATAAAATATTTAAAAATCACGATCGTGCTACTTTAACTGCGTTCGCTGCCTAAATGGTGGATCATATACAGGGTCCGCCAAAGGAACCTGACGTTTTCAGAATGGATAGTACGGAGCTGTTTTTTGACGTAGAACATCGGTTACAGTGGGCAAGACATCGGTAGTAGATGCCATTTCAGTAGTCATGGAGCTGTGGACAAGTGAACATCGCGCATTTGTTGTCGAGACGTATTTTAAAAATCACAACTCGGTGATCATTACACAGCGTCTATTTCATACACATTTCAATGTCGGACGTCATGGTTCTGTTCCATGCCGTAACACAATTAAGTTGTGGGTCAAAAATTTTCGTCGATCTGCATCAGCAATGAAAGCTAAGCTACCAGGAATGCGTCGAACAGTTCGGACTCCAGCCAATATTGAGAGGGTGCGAACAGCGGTGCAGCAAAGTCCACGTCGTTCAGCTAGGCTACAAGCAATTAGTCTAAGGCTTTCAGAAACAACAGTGCGGCGTATTTTGCATAAGGATTTACATATCACCCTTACAAATTAGCGATGGTTCAAGAACTGACAGCTGAAGACTTTGTGAACCGTTTGACTACAAGCAACCAGCTTCTGGAACTTTCAGTCGTCCTCTGGTTTCCTTATTAGGTCCTTGCCTGTTTCAGAATGGATGTCAAATGGCTTGGTTTGCTCAAGCGGTTGAGGGGTTTCATCCTCCACCGCTCGGGTGTGTTTCAAT